CATACAAGCAGTCAACAAGGCAAATGGAAAAATGCTCAGCCTCACTCATCATCAGAGAAATGCAAATCAAAACCACATTGAGATACCATCTAGCTCCAGTAGGAATGGCCATGATTAATAAAACAAACAACAAAAGATGCTGGTAAGGATACAAGAAAAATGCTTCTACACTGCTAGTGAGAATGCAAACTAGTTCAACCTCTATGGAAAACAGCGTGACAATTCCTAAAAGAGCTAGAAATTGACCTTCCATATGATCCAGCAATCCCCCTTTTGGGAATATACCCAGAGGAACATAAATCACTCTACATAAAAGATAACTGCACATGCATGTTTACTGCAACACTATTTACAATCAAAAACATGGACCCAACCAAGCTTCCCATCAAAAGTGGACTGGATTTAGAAAATGTGGTGCATATACACGATGGAATATCATGCAGCCATAGAGAACAAAATTATGGACTTTGCAATAACTTGGATAGATTTAGAGTCTATAATATTCAGTGATTTAACACAGAAGCAAAGAACTAAGTATCACATGGTCTCACTCATAAGTGGACCCTGAACTTTACCATAATACTATAAGAAAAGGATTGGCAATAACCAGAAACTGCCATGGGGGAGAGGGGACACATAACATAAATAAGGATACCAGATCTCAAAGCAGGTAAAGTAAGGACAAAAGAGAAGCCCAAACTTTATCTGTATGATCACCACTTGTATACCTAATCCTGAATTGTACTCCACATCTTTAAAATTTAAGTTTAAATTTAAAAATGGAGAGATTGGTATTATACACTATCAGTGATCTTTGAACAACTCATCCATTCCATTCTACAGGTATTTTATAAGCCCCTGTGATATATTAGATACCAATGTGGGCTCTAGGGGTATAACAGCCAAGAAAAGTGACTGACTGCCATCATGAAGCTTCAATTCTAGCAGAAGTGGCAGACAATAAGCCAACTTAAATTCATAATAAATCTGGAAGTGATACATGCTATAAAGAAACAGAAAATAGAACAAAGAGAAAAGGAGATGTGAAGAGAGGCATCCTGTTTGCCACAGCCCTGCTTTATACAGACGACTTCTCTGGTAAGGGACATTTGGACAAGACTCTTGAAGGCAGTAAAGGAGACAGCTGCATGGATATTAAGGGGGAAGCCAAAAGAATAGCAAGTGCAAAGGCCCAGGAACAAGAAAAAGCAGCCAAACCCTTCTTTCCCTGCTTCTGTGATGCTGATCACCCACCTGCTTTTCAAACAGAAATGTCTACATTATTTAATACAAGGCTTGTTTTGTGTCTTTTTTTATAGATGTGATTTTTCACAGCATGAGGTCTTCGAGAAGAAGAAAACCTTCTCCATCCTCTTTGTCCTCTAGAAAGATTAGAGCCAAAATAACTGTTTAACAGATCTACCACCACCGTTCTTGTCTCCAAAGCCCTACTATCATTTTTTAGTACACCAATTTTCTCTTTTATTGTCTGTCGACTGAGGATATATGGGAGCAGCCCTTTATTGTTATATGAGACATTCCCTGCAATTTGGGGAGGCTGAGCTTTCTTTTTCCACTTCTAATTATGTAAGGGAACCTGGACACAGCATGATTGAAGATATCAAACAGCTGTGAAAGAATTCTTGCCTGATGCAAGAATTTTGATTCATTACAAAGCATTTTTTGCTCCTTTCTGAATAATAGCCTCTTAGAATTTCTGTAACACAATGATATGCTGACCAGTTTGATAGTATCATACATGCAAAACTTTATTTTTTCAGCAGTTTGAAAAGAGGCACAAAGTTACATGACTTTCCAGATGTTTTAGAGGACAGAAAACACCTCAGAGAAAATTGCTTCTTAGTTATAGCTTCTATGAAGCTAGCAAGAGTTTCAAGTTTACCAGTGTCTTTTCAAATTGGGAATATTAGAAATTTGATTTTTTTCACCTCATGTCATTGTGGGTCTTATGCTCTTTAATCTCTTGATACTCCCTATATTCAGTCTAACTTCTGTTGAACAGTAACACTTCATAATTTATACCTATCTTAAAAACAGAGGGCAAGGACAATCTAGCCAGCGAGTACTGTCATGATACAGCATTCTTTCTTGCCTCTAATGGAGTAAGTTTCTAGAAGGTATAAAAATGGCGTTATCAAAAAGCAAAAATATGATCTTAAATTCAACTTTGATCCAGTTACTGAATTTGAAACAGAGCCAGTTTTTAAACCACAAAGTTAGTAAGACATGATCTACAAAATACCAGTAAATTTCCTGTCTAAAACACTAACCTTTTCACAGATGCCCCATTACTATCCTTTACATTAAATGCTTCTTTATCCCCACAGTTTTCTTAAAGCACCTTTTTTATAAAAGGGTACAGATTTGGAACATGTCATGGATTCTTTTGACTGAGTATATTTGGTACATTTCTCTTTTATACTAAGAGGACACAAAAATATAAAGGTAATCATAGGAAGAGATACTTAAAGTGCAAGAAAATGATGGTCAAACCACACTAAATAAAAGTGTTTCATGTTTATCCTAGAGGTAGCTTCACCTGAGACAGCAAATGGCTAATATTCTCTCTAACCATTCAACAACTTTAGCATAACCAGAGTATGAGGAAAGGCAGTCACATAGTGACTTGCTCCTCTCTGCAAGAAATACAAACAGAGAGCAAATATTCCCAACCATTTTTCATCAAATTAAATCTTGAATGGAACACCCACCTGGATGGTTTCAGTCTGTAGTAATTTTAAGTGCTTGTTTTATGTCTTCTCTGACACAAAAGAGCACTATAATAAAAGGGGTGACAATTTGCCACTTACAGGCAAGTGAAAAGTAGAAAATTACTTCAACCTGGTAGAATAGTTCTTTTTTTTTTTTTGGAAAATAATATTAGGATAGCTGTCTTTAAGGAAGCAACAATGGGAGGGTCTAAATCCCAAAGAATAAAAGATAGGCCCTATAATGTAAAAATTGTATAATATTTGCACATAATCAAAAAAGTCTTCATTGCATTATATATACACACACACACACACACACACACACACACACACACATTTTGCCTTTTTCCTTGCTCACACCATGTGTCAGCAAAAGACAAATTATTATCATCACTATTTCTGTAGCCTTCTTCATTATCCAAATGCTTTATAGACATTGATTAGTTAACTCTTCTATGATCCCTGCCAGAAAGGTCAATATGATTAATCCGAAGGCAGAGTCAGAGAGCCCCGAGGTTAAGTGATTCATCCTTTCCTCCAAGGAGTTCAGTGGAGGACAAGATCTAAACTCCACAGTTCTTCTGTTTCTATCCTTGCTGACATATGTAACAAGGAAAGTGCTTTTTCTTTTCTGTTAACACTGATACCAAGAAGACTCAGGATTGTATACACTAATGAGTAAAGAATAAAATGTTTTCCTTTGTGGCATTCCATTTGATAGAATAAACACACTTGGGTCAATTTATCAATTTATGGCCAGAGGGGGTGTTTCAAGTTAGAGGTCTTGCATCTTTATGTAACAGTTTGTTCTTTCTATAAATATATTTCAAAGCTCTATCATACTCCTGGTTGTACATTCTAGACTCCAGGGATATTGAAGTAAATTTGAGAGCTGATATACTACTTTCATGCTTACTTTCTAGTGGGTTTGAGACCAAAAATAACAACATTAGCGAAACAAGGATAATAAAAGATGGTGATGAGGATGGGGAGAATTAACACAGGATGATGTAGAAACTGGTAACTAGGTGATTCTTTAAACTGGGTAGTCTCAGAAGAAGGCGTTGAAAGTGAATGACAAGAAGGAGCCAGTCATGTGAAGAGGAAATTAAAGAGCTTTCCAGGCTGAAAGGAGAGCTAAGTTAAAAGTAAGGTAATAAAAGCCCTAAAGTAGAAATGAGCTTGGTATGGCTAGGGACCTGCAAGCAATTCAATGTGGCTGGAGGATAGTGAACAACTGGGAAAGTGGAATAATGTAAGGTCAGAAAAGTAGGCAAGAACAGAATGTGTAGGTCAGAGAAAGCATCTTGGAGTTAATTCTAAGTGCTGTCAGTGAGCCACTGAGACGTCTCAGGTGGTAAGTTGACAAAATCTTATTCCTATTTGCTAAACATTACTCTGACAGTCTGGGGAAACAGAGCACAGAAAGAGAAACCAGTTAATAGGCTATTGTAGTGATTCATGTGAGAGATGATGATGACCTGAACTGGGATGGGAGTAGTGGAGATGGATATGGAGATAAATGAATGAATTGACAATAGGACATGAGAGTGGAGTTGACAGGATTTGCTAAAAATCTGGGGAATATGAGCAGTGAAATCAAAGACAACTTCTATTTCCTCAGATTAAAAAAGTAGAAGAGAACTAGTATGTGTTTGAAATCCAAGTCTTTTCATAATGCATTTTAACATGAAGCTCAAGCATCTGTGTCTTAATTTTTCTAAACAAATCAAGGAGAAAATAAAAAATAACTCAAGTGTAATGGAAAGGTGATAGTAATCTGATTTCTGGTTCTTCTCTATAATAGGTGCTGGAAGAAAATAAACTATAAGACCAGATCAATTCCACCATAGTTTAAGAAAATCTTAAAGCTAAAACAATTTGAACCCACCTAAACTTATTAAAATATTGAATAAATTCAAGTAAATTTTGTGATCAAGCCCTTACTAAACATTTCTTTATGCTGCAAAGTATGGAGATATTTCAAGACAACATGGAAACAACTCCAGCCCTCATGAAACATTCTAGTGAGGGAAATGACAATGAGCAATTGTCACAATTAATTACTTCCAATTCTTTTTTTTTAGTACAGGGGACTTTATTGATGGTATATAATGAAGTGAGGTTCTCTAGCCCCTCCATTCTTTGGGGGACCTGGCATGGACACTGTAAGGAGGGGAGACTCTCAGTGTGATAGGGGACTCCCCAGCAGCTGAGGGCTTCTCTCTTCCTCTTTCGCTCTTGCTGGGGCTGGTGGTCCAGGGGCTCTTACTCCATGGAGACCAGGAGGGTCATGAGATCCACCAACCTGCTACTGTAACCAAATTCATTGTCCTACCAAGACATGAGCTTGACAAAGTGGTAGTTGAGGGCAATGCCAATCCCAGCTTCAAAGTTGGAACAGTGAGTGTCACTGTTAAAGTTGGAGGGCAAATCCTGGTGCTCAGTGTAGACCAGGATGCCCTTGAGGGGGCCCTGGATGCCTGTTCACCACCTTCTTGATGTCATCATATTTGGTGGGTTTCTCTACACAGCAGGTCAGGTCCACAAAAGATACATTGGCAGTGGGGACATGGAAAGCCATGCCCATGAGTTTCATGTTCAGCTTGGGGATGACCTCGCCCATGGCCTTGGCAGTGCCAGTGAACACAGGGATGATGTTCTGGAGGGCCCTGCCATCTTTGAACTACAGCTTCCCAGAGGGGTCACCCACAGTCTTCTGGGTGGCAGTGATGGCATGGACGGTGGTCATGAGTCCCTCCACGATACCAAAGTTGTCATGGATGACATTGGCCAGAGGGGCTAAGCAGTTGGCGGTGCAATGGGTATTGCTGACAATCGTGAGGTTGTTCTGGTACTTCTCGTGGTTCATACCCATCACAAATATGGGAGCATCAGTGAAGGAGGCAGACATGATGACCCTTTTGGCTGCCCAGCCTTCTCCAAGGTAGCGAAGACACTGGTGGACTCCACTAGATAATCAGTGCTAACATCATCCCATTTGATTTTGCTATGGAATTTCCATTGACGACAAGCTTCCCATTCTCAGCCTTGGTGGTGCTGTGGAAATTGCCTTGGATAGAGTCATACTGGAACATGTAAATCATGTAGTTAAAGTCAATAAAGGAGTCATTGATGGTGACAATATCTGCTTTGCCAGAGTTAAAAGCAGCACCCAATATCGCCAAATCTATTCACTCCTACCTTCACCTCCACCATGGTGTCTCAAGGACACATCTGGTGCTACACGGGAGACACAGCTGTCTGTGGAACAGAGGGAGCAGAGAGCCAATTCTAATTCTTATTAAAGAAACAAGGGGAACCGGGCTCAGTGGATCAGCCTGTAATCCCGTGCTTTGGGAGGCCGAGGTGAGTGGAGTGCCTGAGCCCGCAGGTTCGAGACACGCTTGGGCAACTTGGCGAGGCCTCATCTCTACAATAAAATTAAAAAAAATTAGCCGGGTGTGGTAGTGCATGCCTGTTGTTCCAGCTACTTGGAAGGCTGAGGCAGAAGGATCGCCAGAGCCCAGCAGGTCGAGGTTGCCGGGAGCGGCCACTGCACTCCAGTCTGGGCGACAGAGTGAGACTCCAACTCAAAAAAAAAAAAAAAACTTAAAAAGAAACAAGGGGAAAGTATTAGCTACTCTGAAAGGTTATTAAGGACTTCTTTAGAAAGTGACATGCAAACTAAAATCTGAAGGGCTTAGCCATAAAGATGCTGTGACCATCACAGGATATATAAAGTCATAACTCATACACTCACACACAATAATTTTTTGACTACAGCCATTATGTCACTCTTCAAATTCTGAAGAAAAAGCATCTGGTCAATTGATTGCCTGACCTTAAGGTGTGTGCTCCATTCCTGGCGCACTCGGTTGTGGCTTGGGAATGAGAGTGTGTCAAAGGAAACAAGGGCCTGTAGTTTCTAAAGAATAAGGGAGAACCTGTTAAGCTGGGAGAGATGTTGCGTATGACAGAAAATTGACTTATGTTTCTAATATAATCTTCTATTCACCTTTGCATTCCCACAACTCAACAGAGTACCAAGCATATAGGAAGCATTCAATGCTGAGTGATGGATTGAATGAATAAATGAATAAAGGCAATTAGAGACACAGCAGAAGGCAATTTGGGGCTACTGTTAAGTAGTAAGGAAGTCTATCTACCAGATCAATTATGGCCCGCTCCCAATATACTGCTACCACCACTCCCATCATCTTTTGGAACAGTGTCTCACTCATAAACAGGCTAAAGAGACTAGGTTCGAAATATTTTGATTATAATTATGTCATTTTTTTTCATATCTGAATTTGGTGCTTCCCAGACTTAACAGAACATAAGAATCACCTGACAGCATAGGTTAAAATGCAAAATTCTAAGTCTCACCCATTTTAGAACAGCCAAGAGAATACCCAAAAATATGGATTTCAACAAAGATTCCATGTGATTAAAATGTAAATGACGAAATTTACTTTGAGAAATGCTACCGTATATGACTATGGACTTGTCTTCCCAAGTCTAGTCTACCGTATATCCAAATGGTCTCAATTCTCTTTGCCCTCCATTGTCTTTGTCACTGATGATTGAGACCTCGTCACTTATTAGTTATTTCGACAGCCACATCTCTGTTCATTCTTACTCCAATTGCTCCATATCTCAATCTAGCTTGCAACTTAATCCAATCATCTTCCCAAAACAATTAATTCTGGGTAATAAATGTTCAGATGAATACAAAAGTAGCAGAATCTAGTATGCTTATATTGAGCTACAGATTTGAATTCTGTCTTTTTAACCCTCTCAAACTTGAAATATTTTACTTGCTATGACTACAAAATAATCTTACTTATTTTCTTTTCCAAATTGTTCCCTGTTTCACATGACTTGAAACATATATTCACATCCTGGAAAAGTTCAAAAGTGAGAATAATCAATCCAGTCTTTTCCTCAAGCTAGCTGTGTGAATGTGAACAATTTCCTTAGGTTCTCTGGGATAAATTTGTTCCATTAATAAAGAGACAGAACTAACTGAAACTAGTGACTTTCCCACATTTTGATGACCTCTCATGGTAAGAAAGAGGTCATGACAATGAAGTTTCACAAAATATCCACAAAACACCCTTATCGATGTGATGGACTTATATTTTATCTTCCAATCTAATCTATTCTATCCCATCTTATTTCTTGTATTTAAAAAAGTGCTAGTTGCAGCTCGCTAAATTGATTTTACAACACTATATGAGATGATAGCTACTGTTTGAAAAACACGGACACAGATGATCTTTATGATCTGCTCCAGTTCTTATGCTCTATGATAATGAATAAACATGGCAGTTCTTTTGCGTATATGTGTATTGTCTTTCTTTATATATAATCACTTTTATAGATTAATTCTTGGGAAGAAAATAGGTTTCCTAAGGTTATGTGACATCTCTGAGAAAACAGCATTTATACATGTCATAAATTTATAAATTTATAATTTGTAATATAAAAAGGTTATGTAAGGCTGGGCTCTGTGGCTCAGCCTGTAATCCCAGCACTTTGGGAGACCAAGGCAAATGGATTGCCCACGCCCTCAGATTCGAGACCAGCCCGGGCAACTTGGTGAGACCTTGTCTCTACAATAAATCAAAAATTAGCCAGTCGTGGTAGCGTGTGCCTGTAGTTCCAACTACTTGGAAGGTTGGGGCAGAAGGATCGCCTGAGCCCAACAGGTTGAGGTTGCAGTGGCCGTGAGTGTGCCACTGCCCTCCAGCCTGGGCAACAGAGTGAGACTCCCACTCAAAAAAAAAAAAAAAAAAAAGGTTATGTAAAACTAATACAAGTCAATGGGGGGGTGACATTGGATTCCTTTCTCATTTTCCCACTTAGCCAACTACAGATTGCATTCCAAGAATTCTTGCCATGACTGAGGAAGGGGCACCAAGATTGAAGTGACATTCCTTCATAACTTAGTTAAATCATGAGTTGTAATCACTTAGTTGTCAGTCCTGACTTGACTTTAAAACCACCTGGGAAAGTAAAATAAACAATTTACAGACCTCATTCTAGAACTATTAATTCAAAATATAAGAAGGTGAAACTGAAACATTAATTTTCATTTTTTGGTTTTCTTTGAGTCAGAATCTTATTCTGTCACCCAGGTTGGAGTCTAGTGGCATGGTCACTGCTACTCCTGAGCCCACTCCTCCTGGCCTCAGGAAGCTCCTTCTACCTCAACCTCCTGAGTAGCTGGGACTACAGGCATGGTCCATCATGTCTGGCTAATTTTTGTTTGTTTGTTTGTTTTTGTTTTTTGAGGAAACGCAGTCTCACTATGTTGTCCATGCTAGTTTCAGACTCCTGGGCTCAAGCAATCCTGCTACCTTGGCTTCCCAAAGGGCTGGGATTATAGGCATGAGCCACTACACCCAGCCCTTGAATCATCAATATTTTTAAATATCACCAAGTGAGGACTGAGAACAAGACTAGCTGATATACCTCAAAAGCCACAGTGTTCTAGAAATCTGGTTTAGTCTAATGACAAAAAACAAGGGTGATGGCAACCATGCTGGATAAAACATTTCACTTTTACTCACTTTCCCTTATATCCCTCTCCTAAACTTCACACTAATCTTCTTCTCCTTTATCATCCATAATTGAGAACTTCTACTGGCTGTAACTTAAGCAATAATGTCCCTAATGTCCTCCATGGGTCCTGTTCATGTCCCATATAGTACCTGAGTAAAAATGCCACTTGAGAAATGTCACTCTATAAGAAATTAGTCCTTGTGTATCAGTTCTCCAACTCAGTCTATGGGGTAGAGTTGTAATCAGTTTGTAGTCTGAAAACTTGACAGTTGAAAGTAGGAGGAGAGCGGGAGTAACAACCATCCCTCATTAGACAGGTAAACACTGGAAAAAGTGGAACACACACAAGCAGGCAGAAGTAGTGACAGAGATTCAAGGAACTCAAGAGAGTTAGAAATCAGGATTTGGCTTCAACATAACAAAGCTAAACTTTTGGGTGAATCACTCATTTAGAAAATACATTAAGAAAGATTATGAAGATTCAGGTAAACATATCACAAAAAAGTTAAATGAAAAAATTCAGTGTTTGTTTGGGGGGGTTGTGGTGCTTTTGGGTTTGGCTCCGCAGATTTAATTATGTTATAGTGATCTGTTTTCTTAATAAACATATTAATTGAATGTTGACATACAAAGTTTTGGGTTTTTTTTGATTCATAAATTCTCATCTCAGATGAAAGCTTCTAGCTTTTATATGCATCCTTATCGCCACCTGGTGCATGTTAAAATAATGCAAGGAAGATAGCAGAGTATAACTAAATTATCAATGGAAAATCAAAGCTGGCACCTAAACCATTTATTAACAAATATCTTTGATATAGCTCAATAAACAGTAGATATAATATGGGAGCATCTTGTTCAGCAATGTGGCATTTTTCTCTGGCCTGCAAAACTGATGAAAGGACTTTGCTTTGTTTTGAGATTATGACATTTTGTATGCTAATATTAAAATATATTTTACTAGATAAAATGACATTATAAACAATAAAAAATTTAATAATAAACCACATATAGATAAATACTTTTGATTTTAAATAATATTGATGCAAAAAGGTGGCAGTGTTTTATTTCATTGTTATGTTGTGATTCCCTTACACGAGTAGCTCTGATATAGACATCTCCTTAAGGGAAGTGCATAGGTGATCAGTGTAACTGCTTCTAGAATGCTGAGAGAAATGCCGCAGAAAGCTTGTGGTGAAGCAAGAGTTGGGCTTCTTTCTCAGTTCTGGTAAGTTCCTACCAGCTTGGAAAGTATTGCCAGCACCTACATGCTCTGTAGAGAAGCAGGGGACAAGGGGAAACTGCACTTAAATATGCTGCATCTGTTCATGTTCTGTGGCTCTCCCTTAAGCCCGGTGATTTCTATACTACTATTCTTGTAGCACATGTGTGTTTGTGACTAAGGGCATGAGGTAGTGTGAGTGTAGATGTGCATAGGCATGTGTGTTTGAGTGTGTGTGTTTTCTTATCCATCCAACAGTGAACTGACAGCTCTATTTTATAGCTCTCCCTTCTGCCTTCACATTTCCATTTCATGGTGCCAGTTTTTGGAATTTTCCTGGACTATAAAATCTACAGATCTGGGAACCATTGATACAGTTTATGAAAATAACTAGATATGAAAGGAATGAGCTATTTTGGAGCAATATTCC